GAGCATGGGAGATCTCTCCACTTTCTATAGTCGTCCTCAATCTCTTTCTTCAGAAGTGTATAGTTTTCCTTGTAGAGGTCTTTCACATCTTTTGTTAGGTTTACACCTAGGTATTTGATTTTTTTTGAGGCTATTGTAAATGGAATTGTTTTCATACATTCTTTGTCAGTTTGCTCATTGTTAATGTATAGAAATGCTAATGATTTTTCTATGTTGATTTTATATCCTCCTACCTTGCTATAGTTATTGATGATGTCTAGAAGCTTCTGAGTAGAGTTTTTTGGGTCTTTAAGGTATAGGATCATGTCATCTGCAAATAGGGATATTTTGACATGTTCTTTACCTATTTGTATGCCTTTTATTCCTTCTTCTTGCCTAATTGAAAAGCAGGTTATTGATACAATCAAATGTGTCAAGCCATTCGCAGTCCTATAACACACTGCCTTCTCATAGCTTCTAGTCATTGCCCTTTGTCCTCCTGGGCATCCAATAAGCATGCCTGAACTTCTACTACATGCCAGATTCCCTTGACTCCCTCCAAATTCCATGAGGGCAGAATCTCATCTTCCTTGTCTTATATGTCCAGTTCCATCCCAAGAAACTATGATCGATGAGAATGTAGTAATTTTTTAAAATAAATGCTTAATCACCATGCTCTACAGCATGTAAAGCTAAATTAAATAACATATTCACAAGGGAGAATTATTTAACTTGATTGTTTAAATATGTACTAATTAAATACAGACTTAGAGTCTATGAGAAAGAATGGGAATAACAAAAGGTTGTTCTGTCATCTATTACTCATTTCATCACAATTCTATTAGAACTTCTTTAGGAACCAGTGCTACCTTGTATTTTCTATGTCTTCATAAGTCCTTAATTTTTATCTCAGAATTAAATATATTTAGACAGATTTATTAAATTAAATAGGTATAAGGTGATTTACCACTATAGTAAATAATATCCCAAAATACATTATGACACTTTTTTATATTTTCGTTTTTGTTTCTCCTTTTATAAACAAATAATAACAAAAAAGTTACATGTTATTCTTCCTTTCATTCTGAATCTTTAGTTAGGTTATTAAATTTTAATAACAGCTTCATAAGCAATTAATTTATATTGCCTTTATTTTGAGAGTCAATACTGTTTAAAATTGTCAGTTGAAGCTCTCAATATAAAAAATATAGTATTTTTTAATATTCTAAAAGTTGCTACTCTTTTTCTTGATAGTATTCCTTGAATACATTAGCTTGCCACTGTTGCTAGCTGAGTCAATCTAGAAAGCATACCACAATCTATATGATTACACTCTTAATTTTCAAATAACTTCTTCCTTGTAAAAGAAAGCCTCACAACTCTTCACATCATTCATTGACTCAATTTGAAAGATTAATTTCCCTCTAGAAAATAGCAAAATGTCATTATACCGCAGTGAACACGACATTATCTCAGCAGGTAGAATGAAAGTAGATGGGTTTTGTTCTCAGCTGGTCCCTCTTGATTTTTGACCAAACATTATAAGGTGATTTTTTTATTCAACCTATTATCTCAGAAAAAAGAAAAGTGAGTCGAGAGGTCAACTAAATGCCTGGTATCACTGAAAAGATCTTTATACTCATGTTCTGAAGGTGGCACTTTGTATTCAAGAATGGAGTATGATTTTACTCAAGTAAAAAAAATCCTGTTTTTGGCACTGATTAGTGTAGGAAACAGCTTATTTTTGCAAAGTAGTGATATAACTTGCAAACAGGAACTGAAAAGGCTGTGACAAAAAATTTCATTGATTAAATGCAGAATTCCCTTCGATCTGTGGGTTTGCTTTCTGCAGTTTCAGTTACTTATGGGTCAATTGCAGTTCAAAAATATTAAAAGGAAAATTCCAGAAGAAACAATTCCTGAGCTTTAAATTGCATGCTGTTCTGAGTACTATGATGAAATCTTGCATTTTTGCTCTCTGCCCTGCCATGGACCTAAATCAGTCCATGTTCAGCAAATCCACACTGTATATGCTCACTAACAACCCATTGGTCACTTAGTTACATGTCAGTTATGGGATAGACTGGAGTGGTACTATAATGCTGGTGTTCAAGTAACCCTTTTACTTATTAATGGTTCCAAAGTGCAAAATACTAATCTGACAATTTTATTCCAGTATTGTTTTATAATTGTTCTATTTTATTATTGTTGATAATATTTTACTGTGTCTAATTTATAAATTAAATGTTTTATGAATATAATATTCATAGATATTACAAGTACATAGAACTATAGGTGTTGGGACTATCTAAGAATATAGGCAATCGTGGCAGTCTTATGTTCTACAAATTAAGGAGGACTGGTATAAACAAGAAAATGATTTAAAACCTTTCAGCCATAGTAATTCTAATATACTGACACATATATATCAGAGCAGGTCTACTTGACATATTAACTTCAATGAAAAATGTTTACAAAAAAATTGAGGAATTTTAAAAGAATTTCATAGAATGTTTTAAGTGAAAATAACAAGTGATTTTTTTTCTTACACCTAACTTTGTTAGCATTGCTACAAAATAATTTTAAAACTTTTTTTCTGGAATAAAACCCCCAGAGATTATAGAAATGGAACAGATTGGAAAAGAAATATTTCAAATCCAACATCTCCCAGTTTAAGTTCTTTTTCTATGACTTGTTCATTGTGGAGCTGGGAGTGGGAAGGGGGACTGCTCAATGAAGACAATTGTCTCACATTTTTAGTCTTCAAAAAATATAATTATATATATTTTTTGTAGTGCTGGCAATTGAACCTAGTCCCTTGCATTGCCAGACAAGTGTTTTACCACTTGATCTATGCCTCCAGCCCTTTTGTTTGTATTTTGCTTTTGAGACAATGTCTCCTAACTTTGCTTGGCTGACTTCAAACTTTGTGTCCTCCTGCTTCCATCTTACACTACTCTGCAATCCCAGAGTGGCTGATTTTAACATGGGGTCACCATGTGCTCTGAATGTTGTTAAGTTTAGAAAGTTTTTTGTATAAAATAGGTAACATGATGCTTGACTCTAGTGCATACTCAGTAAATATTTTCAATAATGTTTAACTCCTCTTCAGTATAATCCACCATGAATAAAACTATAAAGTTTCTTCAAGCTTCACGTGACTCTAATTTTATATTATGCAACTGTACAACATATGAAAATATTTTTTCAAGAAACAGCAATAAACTATTTTCTCAACTTCAAACATTTATACTTTTTTGTTTTTAATATATTAACAATGACCTTATCAATGGTAATGTGTCCAAAATTGAATTCTCATCCTCAGCACATGCATACAACCTTCATAACACCATCACCAAATCACTTTCAAATAAAACTGGATTTTTTCTGATGAATCTATCTCTCGATTATTACTAACATACTTAATTCAAGACATCAGCAACATTTCTTATGCATTCTTACAATGGTGGCATTCTACACAATGTCTCATCTATAGCTTTGTACACCTTGCTGTCTTCTGTACAAGAACACTAGAGTAACTTTTCAGAAAAAGAAATTTCATTTGGCTGTTGCTTATGAAATGATAAATTAATAATGGAGTAGAATAAAATGTGTAGAACCAAATCCAAATGCATATGAAAAAAATGAAATAACATAACTGCAAATTGGTGAGGAGATTAACCATTCAATATATTATGTTGGGACAACAGAGTAACTGACTGGAAAAATGTGTTTTTATTAGCATCTGCTACTGTGAACAAGGATATATCCCCCAAATAAGAAAGGTTTACAATATGAATCCATAAAAGCTCTAATATAAAATGTAGACCAATTGTAACTTGACTTTATGTACCAATAGAAAAAAGAATTATGTTAGTTACAAAGAATTGGCTTGTAAACATAGCAAATATTTCCAACCTCCTTCATAATCAAATACATAAAATATTAGGTATGATATTTTGCCTACAAATTGGCAAAAATCCGAATGTTTGATATTATAAACAACTTGGGAGATTGTGTGGGATTAGTCATTCTCAGATTTTGCAGTCAGAATTGTGAAACATTTCATGTATTACAGAAGGTAAATTGGCTGTTAACTAGAAAATTTATAATTTCATATACTGTTTTGTATTACTGCTTGGAATTTACTTCTTTACTTTACTTCTAAGCATTTAAAGTGATGCATATTCAATGTATTTAATCTTCCACTGTCAGTAAAAGAAACAGAATAAATTTAAAAGCCCATCAAAAGTGGACTTCTGAAATAGTTATAAACAGGGAGAAATATTATATATCTATGATAAAAAGATTTGTAGAAATTATCCAAAATTCATATAAAAACAAAAGACAGTGTGAAGGAAAAAATTCAATCAAGGTGGAGGAGTTTATTTAAATTCATTCTTTTTTTTTTTTGAAATGCATACTGAAAATTTGTAAATAAACAATAAATTAGTTGAAATGTATTTCAGGTGGGGAACTGAAAAGATGCAGTTGCAATAGTTAGAAAATTTTAAAGTTCTTTCTAAATGTGTGTATGGATATTCGAATGTATACATATATTTTGTGTGTATTAAATACGTATATAATAATTGCATATATTATTTTATACATAAATTTTAATAATTTACTCATGCACTGAGAGGGATCTTCAAAACCCTGAAACATTAGATGAAGCTCTTATACCAGTGATTTTTGAAAAGCAGTCTTTGTCTCACTGTCAGCCACCTTGCTTTTCAGTAACAAACTGGAAACATGTCTCTGATTACTCTCCAATTGCCGTACTAGAACAGAGACCTGCATCCCTCTGCATCTGTGATATCACAGGTAATCATTTTGTGGCTTCATCTTTCCCTTATTTTCCTCTTCCCAGGATTTAACTAAATAAATATATGCAGTTCCTGAGAATCCGGTCTCCCTGACTTTCTGATCTAATTTAGATGTTTATAGGATGAAAGATAAATTTAATTATGGGGTTAAACGGAAGCGAAGGAAAGAGCTTTGGCTCTAATAATAGAAATTACCTTCTCTCTGCGGGAGGAGCGTTGTCCGCAGCTTGTACCGTGAGCGCATAGGTCCTCCCCACCACCAGTTCCACCCCTGGAGCCATGGTGATGAGTCCTGTAGTTTTATTGATGACAAAGTCTCCCTGAGCCCCAACCAGGATTTCATACGTGATCTCCCCATTTGACCCTTCATCTGCGTCGACTGCAGTGAGCTGGAATTGAAAATCACAACATAAATCCTCTTGGAATTCAACTTTTCACCATCCTGTGTCATTTCCCCCAAAACACAAGGAACTTGCCTTCAAAGACAAAACATATGTTAAGAAAGTGTTCTTGACATCTAAGTTCTTATTTTCTTAAATTGAGACTCTTGTGTTCTGTTATGATACTGAAGCAATTACAGCAGGACTGAATTTTTTTCCTTTGTTATGAGGGTGATAAGGATCTTGAAGTCAATCTTTAATTTAATGAAAGAAAAAAGAAGAAACCCTTAACATAAAATCTAATATCCCTAAGGTAAATTTCATGTTTTTTTTTTTTTCTATATCTCACTTCCTACTCTTGGCACATAAACACCTAATGCTACAGTCTGTTACCAGAAAAAATGAAATAAGCAAGATTTGCCTCTATTACTGGTACTCTTGTTTGCTTTCATTTTTTTTTTTCATTCATAATGTTCATGCTGACTTACAAAGGACTGATGAGGCCTAGTGTATTACAAATAAATACATCTCTTATAGAATATTGTGGTAACTGCAGTCCAAAAAATAGTTGTTGTTCCCATTGTTTTGAGTAAAGAGAATGTGTTTAGAGATCTTGAAATGATAACCACATAAACATCTGTAGCACTAATATGTTAGTATGTACACATTCATAGTAATTTTGAGGCAACAGGTATCTAATAAAGTATATTTCAGTTATTATGTATGAAAAGAGAACAACTTTTTTTAATTCTATACAGCAACATTTAAGTAATAATCATGTATGATGTTAAAGATTCCTTGACTTCCTGATCCATATAATTTACTAAAGAGGAGAAAGAATACAATTGAATTCTAGTGGGCAGTGATATGCATCATACATGCTTTCAAGAGTTCTGATTTCACCATACCAAAAGTCGCCTTACATTATACATGGGAAAACAAAGTTCTCAGTTGAATAAAGAAAGTACATAACTGGAATAAATTAATTTGTAGAACTTTTTCTTCTTTCTTTGTATTTTTAATACCTATGTTTTACTTCTATGAAGTAGTAGTTCACTATAGTTCACAGACTCTTTTGAGAACCTGGAGAATACTTTGGTCTACACTGTCAACGTCAGTATTTATTTAGCATGAACATATTAAATAATTTACATTGAAACTTCAATTTCAGATGCATATTGATTAATGACCCTTTTGAAGGTTCGTGTTTCATACTTTTTAAAAGTGCATAAAAGATCTTGAATTTGGAATGATAATATACACATAAATAGCAGCAATAAAAATTATTGAGAAGACAAAAAGAAATTTGAGAGATTGGCAACTTTAGTGACAATTCAGTCCTGAGACTGAATATTTTTAGGTGGACAGATGTGGTCGCCAGAAGGAAAAACATTTCATGAAATGATTCTGGGACTCATATGGACATGACAGACACAGACCTAAAGGCAAAGGGAAAGGAAACTATTTATGGAAACAGTCAAAATGAATGCTGTATATTTATGGAGGACTGTTCATGTCAGAAAAATTGCTAATCTTTTGTGAATAAATTTATAGGGTATGGTAGCAGAGGAAATATCAATTTTGATTATAATAAATCACTTAAGCAAAATGTCTCAGGAAAACTTAATTAAAATTTAGCTCAAATTGGATTCAATATTAACATTCTTCCTGGGACTTAAATTGGCTGAAGGGATTTAATGATAAATGGCAAAGCACCAAGTAAAGAAGAGGAGTTGAAGAGAATGCTTCAGGGACCTAGGTATTATGACTGGTTTTATTTAACATTTTCATAAATGAGGTTGGGAGAGAAGATAAGCTGGATGATAATTAAATTGAGGAAAGCATCCATCTGGGAAGTGCTGTAAGAACCAAAACATGCTGCAAAGCACAGGCAATAGAAACACCCCTAAAACTATACACCAGTCAACCACAGATAAGCTAGAATTCACTAGCTCCACAGAAATTATTAGCAGGTGCGATGTCTACAAATAAACCAGAAATAAATTCTGTGTTCAAGTTATTTAAATAGCTTTATACTCTTTTTTTAGTCTCAATAATAAATAATAAAATAATGGGTTAAGAATCACAACATAATTTTGTTTGCAAAAAAAAAATCTTGCTGAAATTATCATAGTCCAAGAGTAGAAAATGGAGCAGAAATACTGACTCAAAACACATATCCAATAACTTTGTTCAGGCAAGAACCTACAAACTCAAGGCACTTTTTAAATCTTCACTGATACTAGGGAATATAAGCTTCCTCTTGAGTCTATGATATGATGTTGGATAGAAGTTTAGTTGCTGATTTTCAGTTCAACTATTTGATTCAGTTACAACCCAATGACCCTCACCAATGTAAATGAGTTAGAAACATATTAAGCTCTTTTCTAATTTAGGGGGAAATCTACCTCCTAAAATAAAATGGAGTGGGAGAGAGGTTGATTTACATGTAAAAGCCAAGTTACTTACAAGTCTCTGAGCTGTTGATCTGTTTTGTATATATTTCTTTTACATTATGCATTATAGTTCTTTTCACAAAGTTTAATTTTACCCTTCCACAATCATTCTCATATTACAATATGTGCATATTCCTGATGTCCCCAGACATCAATCACCATTGCAAAAAAAATCTGATTTGCCCCTACTGTCCACTGTCTCTATTTCTGCCTGCCATTCACTGATACCTTCAATTTCTGTTTCATGAGAAATGAGAAGTATGGTTTTCTGTGAAAGAAAAAATGATGTGAAGAAAAGTAAATCAACCTAAACATTTAATTTGGATTCTCAAACAAAACAGAAAGGTAGAAAAAAAGCCATAGTTCACATAGAAATAATCCTAAGAACCTAAAGTTTAATATAAGAGTGTAAATATAGTATTTGTATATGAATGAATGAATTTCACTAGAAATGAATTATGGTTTAATTAAGAATGATTAAGTATGTTGACCATTGGATGCTTTTGCCTCCTAAGCATCTTGGCCCTTGCTTCAATGTTTTCCATTGGGGCACTGCTCATTCATTTCACAGTTCATATTTAGGTAGGGCTGATACTCAACTCTAATGACGGGAGGGAGTCTCTGGCCTGGCCACATCAATATTTCTGAGGTCTTGTCAGCATTGGTCTATCTAAGACAAAGTTCCACACAGAACATATTATAAAGCACAGACATCCTGTCTGGTACAAAATACATGTTAATAATATAACAAATGACTACATTACCAATGCATGAAAAGATATGTAACATGTGTGTGCATTGTACATATTATACTATCAGTATTGTCATGTATACTCCTTCTATCTATTAATAATAAAGTTTACTTTAAAGCAGTATGCCAATGTTATTCTGGAAGCTTCTGTATTTTGTTTACAGTGTATCTTGATGCACTTTCCAATGATGGAACTTTATTGCTTAGGTTTTCATATGTATATTCTATGATAATTACATATTGACAAAATCACCTAATGGTGCATTTCTCACACTGTATCTCTGTAGTTAAGCAATGCATGACTATACTGGAATATTCTAAGGGAGGTTTGCACTGGAAAAAGACTAGTATATAACAAAGTTGCAGAAACAAGGGGAAGAAAACTGTTGAAGGTCTCATGGGCTATGCTTAGTTTTAAAATGGCTTCATCAGAATTCAAAATGAAAGGATAAATTTATAATTGACATTAATACATATAATTGTTTGCATGCTTTTTTTTTCTCCTTTGTGGTTGTTTTGGCTTGTTTTTTATTGAAGACAGGAAAAGGTGGGGAGGGAGATAGGATTTTTAGATGAGAAAGTTGCAAGAGGAAAAATGCAGGTGTATTATTTTCTATTTTGTGATTCTTATTTGTGATGAAAATTATGGCTGAACACTAGTGGGCTCCAAAAGAAAGCAAAACACTACATGCCAGATTTAAATTACAAAAGAGATATGGGGACATTAATGTTTTGATCAGAAGCATAGACAGCAATCAAACAATAAAGAATTAGCCATATTGTTTCTTGTGCTACACAATACTGTTTGGAATGTAGTCTTCTGCTATTATGGAAAGGTATTTTCTGCTTTATGTGGGCACAATTTTGAAATTCTTGACATTAAAAATGTTCTGGTCTAGTCATCTCATTATCCAAATATCTGTTTATCAAGAAAGACATAGGGAGGGTCCATAAAAAAGAGAAGTAAAGGGGGTGGAAGCGACCAAAGTACATTATATGCATGTGTGGAATTATCACAATGAAATCCCTCACTTAATAGATGGCAAACAAAATAATTTCAATCTGAGGAAATTGAAGGAATTTCTTTTTTTTAAACTTTCACTGATTTCACCTACAAAATCTAAAGGCAGAGAGAAAGAGCTCTAGGGTGGAATTTTCCTTATATTCATTGAAGAGAATCTACCTCTCCCAAAATCTCAGATCCTGATTTGTTTTTGTTTTTTATTTGAATTTTAGCAACAATAGAAAAAGGTTTTACTGTGTTTCTAGAACTTCACTTCTGTTTCTAAGCATCCATGTTAGTTACACTCATTTGTATTCTTCATTTAATTGAGCAAATTCGTCTATTTCTTGAATGTTCTATTTGTGAAAATAAGAGACAAATGATTCTCCCAGACTAGTGTAAGTTTGCAAAATTAGTTTTAAATTAAAGAATGTATGGTGTTTTAATCTTCTCAGGCAGTAGTTCCTTTGATTATTTTAATTCAATAAAACAAGAATTAGTTATATTAAATTGTATTAAAAGTACTATCAAAGTAGTACTCAAGTCCACACTATTGTCTTCTAATTTTATTAGAAATATGTATTACTCTCTAACATGAAATTCAGAGTAAAAATGGATACATTAACCTAATGGTAATGTGAAAGACATGGAAAATTCCTTTTATTAAAAAAAAACTAGACTCAAGTTGATGTAGGGAAGTATTCATTTATATTGAATAAGAAGAAATATCATTTCCTCTGCTAATATGCGACTGTGTTCATTAAATTTGTTTTATTTTTCCCTCCATTTCATCATATTA